TTTTTTGTTTTATTATTTTCCTTTAATATTTTTGTGGCATATATGGGTAGATAGATAGATTAACGTCAAATGCAAAATTTTGGGGATAGAGGCTCGAGTTCAACGAGGCCGTAAAACGATATTCTGTTTTATGCGAGCCAGTCTTTCTGAACTTGTTTCAATCAAGCATCTTACTTTCTACTGACTTGTGTATAAAAACTAGCATGCCTGTGTCTTAACGATAGCTGATAACAGAATTATGTTTAAAAATATCTTTTGGCAAAAATGTGTGATACATCCAACTTCCTTCAGAAAGACCCTCAATTATCTACGATCAGTCCAAATCCTATGGTGCCATTGTCAAGGTCTACCAGTCTGAAAGTCAAATCACTCAGGCATCAATACATTCTTTATTGTCTCACACGAACTCAAAACTTCCAAATATTTAACTAGGATTGATTCGCTAGGATCGCGACTGACTTTAAATGAAAACAAGCATTCTAAGAGTAATTAAGCAATACTAGTCCCCCACAACCATAATCTGGTTTCCCTTAAAAATCAAAAAGGCCGTTATTCTGTCAAAAATCATCGAAGAGGAGCGAAATGCAAACTTGATCTGTAACTCATCAAGATACACTTACATATCAAAATTCAGGTCAATATCTGAAAGTGTTTAGATAAATGTGCGGAAAACAGAGTGGGACAGACAGAGCTAGACTGAGAGACAGACAGACGAGGAGTAAACCTTAAAAAAAATTCTAAAAAAGATAGGCTTCATTGACAAGGTTTAAAAATAGTTACCTTTGATGTGAGACACAAATTGACCCTACATTAATGGGTCATAACAGTGTATTTACACTAGACAAAATTACTATAGCACCAGCAAAGGAATTTCATATTTAACTTTTCAAAAATTTCTTATGATGTATCTGATATATAGTATGGTTGCTTAAGTTAAATGTAAGTCATTTAAATGTCTTACCTGATAAATAAATACAATGTTAATTGAGGCGATTTCCATTTTTAGGGTCACCTGAGTCACTCAGGTGACCTATTGCTATCCGTTTTTGTCCGTCGTCGTCCGTCGTGCGTCGTGCGACGTGCGTTAACATTTAAACATTTTCAGCTTCTTCTCTGAAACCGCTCAACCAATTTCAACCAATTTTGGCATATAGCATCTATGGGAGAAGGGGGACAAAAATTGTGAATTTCATAGTCCCTGCCCCCCTGGGTCCTGAGGGGTGGGGCTAAAACCACCAAAATTAATGCAATCTTTAAAAATCTTCTTCTTTACTTCTGGACATCAAGCAGTCAAACTGCTGGCATGATTGTAATAAGCATTGAGCTCTCTACCAAAATTGTGAAATTCATGGCCCCAGGGTCAGGGGTTCTGGTGCTAGGGTGGGACTATATAGATCATATAGTGAAAGTGCATTATTTCTTTGAAAATCTTCTTCTCTGCTCCTGGGTATTAGATAAACTAACTAAGTACATAGTTATGTAGAGCAAGACTGCCTCTTCCAAAATTGTGAATTTCATGGCCCCTGGGTCAGGGGTTCTGGTGTTAGGGCGTGGCTCTATTGATTATATAGTGAAAATGCATTAAATCTTTGAAAATCTTCTCCTCTGCTCCTGGGTATGAAATAAAGTAACTAAGTACATAGTTATAATGAGCATGGCTGTCTCTTCCAGAATTGTGACTTTTATGGCCCCTGGATCAGGGGTTCTAGTGTTAGGGCGGGGCTCTATTGATTATATAGTGAAAATGCCTTATATCTTTCAGAATCTTCTTCTCTGCTCATGGGTATGAAATAAAGTAACTTAGTACATTGTTATGATGAGCATGGGGTCAGGGGTTCTGGTGAAGGGGGGGGGGGACTCTATTGATTATATAGTGAAAATTCATAATTTCTTTCAAAAAAAATTTTCTACTCCTGGTTATAAAGCAAAGAAACAAGTGTATAGTTATGATGAGCAAGGATGCTTTTACAAAACTTAAAACTTGTGGTCCCAGGGGTTCTGTTGTTTCTCTGAGGGGGGGGGGGGGGGGGGGCTCTATTTGATAATATAGTGAAAATGTGTGAATTCTTTGAAAATCTTCAACTAATTGCATAGTTATGATGATGAGGGTACCTCTTCCAAATTTGTAAATTTTCAACATCTGGACCATTTGGTCAAGTGTTCTGGTCCTGGCCATGATTCCTATTGAGTGAAGTTATTCCCCTTTGCCATTCACTTTTGATAATTAATCACTGTAGATAATGTATTTGAAAGGCTAATAGAATAAGAGAATTATGCAAGAACATTTATTGTATAATATAAAAAGTACTTTCATAGCTTTAATAATCAGGTAGACTTGGAAATAATAGATAAATAAAAATGAAACAAAAATAACTTATCTTCTTAAATGTTCTTCAAAGGCCAAGTGAGGCCAATGTGAGGGGTAATAATGTAGACATTTTGTTAAAGTCTGCATGGTAATAGTGATAAATGGGGGCAGATAGAAAGATACTAGACCAATTATTTTGTTGATCTTAATCATACTAATTTTCTTGCTATTGGGTAACAATTAAAGCTTCATTTGTCAGTTTATGGATCCTCTAAATTGTTGTACTCAGGTGACCGTTAAGGCCCTTGGGCCTCTTGTCTTCTTTGTATTCTTTATTATTGTACTAATAAAAAACTCAACAAAAAAATTCAGAATATGCGGCATTTGACCCAAGAAGAGCTTGCCAAAAGTAGTCAATATGGTGTCTGCAGGGCATTACTTTGGGAAGTTTGTAAAAAAAAAAAAAAAAAAAAAAAAAAAAAAGTCATTTAAAAAGAATTCAAAGATTTTTCTTTCTTCTGGTGAAAAATTGTTGCAGATAGATTTACAAACATAAGAACGTTTTCTATAGATGGCAACAGCATTCATTTGTCTCCATACGACTAGCATGCCAGGGTCAACCGCATTCTGGACTCCAGCCTAAAATAACCTTTAATACCTCAACCACTGCAGTTTGAGGAGGGCAGAGTCCCGAATGACATTGGGCCGATCATGCGTTTTGTTCGTATAACCCGGGATTTTTACTAGTATGGAAGTGAGACTTCACACCAAGCTGAACAACACGTACAATCCTCTGTAAACCAGTGTTAATTTATTTTGAAGAGCTTTTTATATGACAAATTACTTCTCCCCCTCTGACTACTGGTTTGCACTCAGGCTACGGGGAATGGCCATTTTTACCCAACCTGTATAAATGCAAAAGAAAGGACACAACTCGTCTTGACCATTCTTTTATTAATTTTTAACACTCCATCATTATAATTAACAACTTCATACAATATAATAAGTATTAGAAGAAATATTATAAAACATATTATCCTGTAAATAAAATGAACCATTGGAAACTTTAACTATTAGAAAATATTAAAAATATGCGCAAGTATACAAAAGTTTCTTACCTGTATAAATGCAACAGAGAAGACACAACTCGTCTTGACCATTAAAAGACGAGGTCCCTCTCTCCTGCATTTATACTATCCGTACTTGTTAGCTCCGCCCTATCCATATTTGTTATTTTATCAAAATTTTCAACTACAACCATCATTTTATGATTTGATTTTTTTCTTGCATTACTGTACTTTTAATTCTTTTTACTTTTTATATGCACTTTAAAATTCATATTAAACTTTTTACAAAGTCCTAAATTTTTATTCTTTGTATATAATTTATACACCTGGCTGACATTTCGCCTGTTACGTCCGATAAGTTGTCCCTTCGACAAGACCAAAAAGGATCTTGCGATAGTCAAGTTACAACACACTAATGCAAACAAATACCTTCACCCCATTTCACCGGTGAGAAGTTTATTTTTATCCTATGCGATAGAATAAACATCCCCGCATGTACTACGTTTCCTCTCAAAACAATATCTGTCATACATCTATTTTATGCAGTTTTTGTTATGCTACGACAATTACAAGATTGTTCCACAAAATTGGGACAAAAGGGTGTGTGGTGGACAGGGTACGGACACCAAAACACTGGGTGACTACTCTAGAGGTGATATCAAAGACCAAAGAAAAATATCATTTGATTTTTGACTGGGAGGCCACTTCTGATCAACACTGATCACCATTGGTAACCACTAACTTCATATCAGGTGCGACTTTCGGAAATTTGTTTTCGGGCAAGAAGGGCATGCGACGGTCCTGTCATGACATCAAGATATTTGCCAATTCGACTGCATAAGGCTAGAAGGCATATTAGACATACTAATATTAGACATACTAGAGCCGATTAGTCAAATGTTCAATAAACAATTGAGAGTATTGAGTGCATGGTGGGTTAGCAATTTTGTCTAAGTATGTAGTGTTTATGTTGTAAAAGTAGCTTATTCATATTCTTATAGCTTTTAATATTGCTCTATCCTCTTATTAATTTTCATTAAAAGAAAGATTGTTTGATATTGTGTTCATTAAGTTTCAAAAGTCTTTCCTGACTATACTTGATAGTTCTTTGTCATCATTTTATGAGAGATTTGTCTTGTTATACCATGTTCTAAGACCATTTTATCAGAGTCATTTTATATTTATAACCATAGGTAATGTCCTATAGGAACTTAAGGAGAACTCATTATAAAGATAAAAAAAGGTTAATTCAATCCTAACATTGATTATGTGTTCCAGCCTTGGGTCTTCAAATGTCCATTTTAATTTGCATTGTAGAGATATTTATGACTTTATAACAATTTGTTCAATGTTATAATACATGTAGTAGATACATAAAGTGAATTCACATGTCTGGTCCGATATCTTTAAAAAATAATCGACGCCTTCATAAATCCTGATGATATTTCGTCTAAAAGCGAAAGCCACAATTAGTTATGTTAGCTTAAAACATCAGAATGTAGGACATACAACAAAAATTGATAGAAATATGAAAAAGGATTTCAATAGTCTTTTCACAATTTTTTCTCGAGATGTCTTTATTCCAACACTTTTAAATGGTTCAGTGGTAGTAATTATAGAAGCCTTCAAATAATGCCTGATTGTGACGTAGGAGGTATCAACCAATACGTTTTCATGATACCTTTACCCTGAAATATATAAGAATAATTATCGCATTGTAAGTATCGAGGTTCAAGCAAATCGTATACAAACTTTATCTTTCAGCTTCCTCTTAATAAAATACAGAAAAAATGGTATGTTGAGAATATATATATATATATATATATATATATATATATATATATATATATATATATATATATATATATATATATATATATATATGAATTTTGATGGTAACTGTGTTGCAGGTATACACTCAATCAACGGTTATAATATGTTAATAAAATTTGCTCTTTTTTCCATAAAATGGGATAAAAACCTTGCACTGTGATATCAAAACCCTGGTTAGAACTTCAGAGGAATGTAGATTGTATTTTACATCCCTTATAAGATTATTTCACTTGCGTGAGACGTCACTGGAAACCTATAAAGGACTTCCAAATTAGACCTATACTCTGCACTCAGGGCCATTGAGCAGTGAGGGGCCTTAGCATGCCAACGCCTACCGTGACGCCGGTGCCTGTTTCTTTTTAATGTCTCATCTTAAAGACCCCCAACTTTCACATCAAGCCGCACAGCGCTTGTCGAAGGAAAAGTTGCTACCTATTTTTTATCGACTAAGGTTCGTTGTGGCCGGGGCTCAATCCAACGACCTTCGGATCAAGCACTCTACCGACTGAGCTGCCGTAAGGAAGGCTTTTGTCGTACTGTGTTATTCTGAAGACGGCGCTTACTTCTTTGAAGCATTATACAAGATGTGATGATATATATTTGAATGTATTTCAAAAAGTTTTTAAATATAGGAAGAATTTAATTCGTTCTATGTTAAAACTTCTTTTATCCGTATCTGGAAGCAATTTCTTCACATTTAATTAAAACTAATGTATGGACATAAAAATGGAAACTTGCCTTTATCTGTAACTCTCCTCGATCTTCTAGAGAAAATTCGGGATTTCTGTACAGTAAATTCCGTGTGCTATCGCTGACATGTATTTTCATTGCTGTTCAAAAAAGAATCTCCAGCATTAATCATTTCAATATATATAAAAGTTAATTATAACGTTCTTCTCCATTTTAAAATTGCATGGCACTGAACTTTTTTCTGCTAATAAGATTTACATAATTGTAATAAGATTTACATTATTGTAACGGTATTTATAATTAAATGATATTCTTTTATATTTTCAACTACCTATTCTTTAGCGAGCAAAAAAAAATTCTCTAACATATGTTGTTTGAAATCGATCACACATTAAGGTTTAAACAGTGATTTTTTTTTAATCCGGATCTAATTAGGATCTATCTATTAGTTGTTATCTAGAATTTCCTTCATATAAGCCCTTTTATTAATTAATGAGTTATCAAGAAAACATTCCCGAAAAATTTGAATGATTTAATTACTATGTAAATCTCTATTGTTTATATTTAGAATATAAATATACTAGCAACAAGAATGTCATATTTTTTAAATTGTAGCCTTTCAAGTGGACAAATGAAATAAAATTTCGTTTCTTCTATTTAAACGTGACAAAAACGTGACTGGGTCAAGTATTTTAAAACCTTTTATATGAAATTTTTGGAAGAAAATAGTACAATGAAGAGCAAAACTGATAATCAAATCAAAGGTTAATAATAAGTTGATACTAATATTACCTTCTCCATTGGACTCCATTCGTGACGCCGTGTTGACTGTGTCCCCAAATAGACAGTATCGGGGCATTTTACGACCCACTACTCCAGCACAGACTGGTCCTATTGGAGTTAAAGTAAGCATATACAATTTTTATCTGACATCTATTTACTGTTGAACAAAGAAATTAAATTGACCATTAGAGTACTACATCCGTTCTTTAAATCAACAAAATTATTTAAATTATGATTTAAATTTGAAGAAAAAAATATACATTTAGAGGATATTTTTAAAAAAGGTATTTAAATAAAGGGTGTTTAATAACCACCACAAATATTTAAGCCAGGAAAGAGCGGAAAAGATCCAAATCAAAACCAAGGAAAAAATACTTTCTTTAAATATATTTTTTTTACAAAGTAAGAAATTTATGATCATTGTATGTCATAAACATGGAGAACAGTTGGCTTGTAGTGATTTGATGAACACACTGTAATAAAATAGGGTATACCAGAATGTATTCCAATCCGAGCGCGTAATGGCATGTCTGGTCGGTGTCTGATTTTGAACACTTTTACGCTTTCTAAAACAGATAATGCCATTCTCGCTATTTCTATTGAATGTTGGTCACCGTTCCTCTGGGGCAGACCAGAAACAACCATATAGGCATCTCCAATAGTCTCAACCTAAAGCACGAATAGTACAAAAGAAAAAAATAAGTTTGGAAGAAATTTTTGGGGAAAATTATCAAAATGATAATTTTGATTCTTTATTCTTTTCTTTTATAAAGGTCTCTATCTCTATCAAGAATGGTGTAAAACTACATAGTTTACAGGTAAAACAGTTTCAGATATTGACCAAACAATTGACTTTATTATATGATTGAATAATTCCTAGCTTTCGGAATGGCCGAGATCTAACATTGTAGATAAAATACTATGTTTTGTTACCTGCACGTGACCTTCCGGGTGAACTTGAGGATTTATTTATTTTTTTTTTCTATATTGGGCTAAAAAATATTAAGAACTTCCAAACTGATACAATTAGTTCTGAATTGTTATATTACCTGTACCCGACTTCCACTCAGGTGATCATAGCATTCATGGAAATAGAATGGGGGAGGGGACTACCCCACTTTTTCTGATCGTAATTTTTTACTTTTAATTTAGTATGGAAATGGTCATTGAAAGGCTGCCTGCTTCCCCCTTTTTTGATACAGTATTATCAAATCCCTCCTACACATGGACCCTAACACTTCCCCCAGAGCATATCATGTCATTAGCTCACCTGAGCCAAAGGCTCAAGTGAGCTTTTCTGATCAAAATTTGTCCGTTGTCTGTCGTCGTTGTCGTTGTTGTTGTAAACTTTTCACATTTTCATCTTCTTCTCAAGAACCACTGGGCCAATTTCAACCAAACTTGCCACAAAGTATCCTTGGGTTAAGGGGATTCAAGTTTGTTCAAATGAAGGGCCACGCCTTCTTCCAAGGGGAGATAATTAAGAATTTGTGAAAAATTAATGGCATCATTAAAAAATCTTCTTCTCAAGAACCACTGTGCTTGAAAATATGAAACTTATGTGGAAGCATCCTCTGGTAGTGTAGATTCAAATTTGTTCAAATCATGACCCCTGGGGGTAGGGTGGGGCCACAATGGGCGATCAAAGTTTTACATACGAATATATAGGAAAAATCTTTAAAAATCTTCTTCTCAAGAACAGCAAAGCCATGATTGGTCATATTTATATGGTAGCATCCTCAGATAGTGTAGATTCAAGTTTGTTCAAATCGTGACCCCCGGGGTAGGGTGGGGCCACAATGGGCGATCAAAATTTAACATAGGAATATATAGGAAAAATCTTTAAAAATCTTCTTCTCAAGAACAGCAAAGCTATGATTGGTCATATTATATGGTGGCATCCTCTGGTAGTGTAGATTCAAGTTTGTTCAAATCATGACCCCCAGGGGTAGGGTGGGGCCACAATGGGTGATCAAAGTTTTACATAGGAACACGTAGTAAAAATCTTTAAAAAAAAAACTATTTCTTAAGAACAGCAAAGCCATGATATGCATATTCATATTGATATGGAAGCATTCTTAGATAGTGTAGATTTAAGTTTGTTCAAACATGACCCCCGGGGGTCGGGTGGGGCCACATGGCGATCAAAGTTTTACATAGGAATATATAGAAAAAAATCTTTAAAAATCTTCTTCTCAAGAACAGCAAAGCTATGATTGGTCATATTATATGGTGGCATCCTCTGGTAGTGTAGATTCAAGTTTGTTCAAATCATGACCCCCAGGGGTAGGGTGGGGTCACAATGGGTGATCAAAGTTTTACATAGGAACACGTAGTAAAAATCTTTTTTAAAAAACTATTTCTTAAGAACAGCAAAGCCATGATATGCATATTCATATTGATATGGAAGCATTCTTAGATAGTGTACATTCAAGTTTGTTCAAACATGACCCCCGGGGGTCGGGTGGGGCCGCAATGAGTGATCAAAGTTTTACATAGGAATACATAGGTTAAATCTTTAAAAATCTTCTACTCAAGAACAGCAAAGCCATGGTTGGTCATATTTAAATGGATGCATCCTCAGATAATGTAGATTCAAATTTGTTCAATTCATGACCCCCCCCCCCCAACTTTTATATTCAAACTTTTCAACCTTTCAAGACTGAAGTGATTTCTGCTTTTTTCTAGCCATAGTGCTCAGGTGAGCGATGTGGCCCCTGGGCCTCTTGTTGTTGTTTTTTTTTTTTCCTTTCCCTTTTCCCCTTTCAACTTCAATGCTACGTGCCTAGCATTTATTTTACTAAATCGCACCAAGAATATATTATTTTCATTTCAAACTGCTTTTCACAAAGCGTTTGGTAAGTACTTCAGCAAATGTAAACAAGAAAGATGTCATGGTTTTACGAGTTTGTATCAGTTAAACATTGCATCATTTTAGTACTGTTTTTCAGTTAATACGATGAGTTAGCCACCCTCGAAGAACAATATTCACAAAATTGTACTCCTCACTTGGCTAAATCATCATACAGCAATAATTGTATGTGTCTCACCTTGTAAACATCATAGTTGTCTATGATTCTGTCAAAACAGGTATATAGGTCATTCAACAGATCGACTACCTACAGAAGAAATTAACCATGTTCAGAAATCACTGTTATTAACTTGCAATTTATATAAAAAAAGAAATTTTTCTATAGCATCATTAGATTTAAAAAGCATTTATTTTTTTCTAAAAATAAACGATTGAACTAAATTTTAAATACTACAGTGACCTGCATTGGTGTGCTCTCTGACGAAAGTTGGGTAAAACCAACAATGTCACTAAAATATATGGTCACACATGCAAAAGCTTCTGGATCTACGACTCGACCACTCTTAAGCTCAATGGCAACACTTCTAAAATGATGAACAATCATAATCATTATTTCAGAATTCAATTATTTCAACACCAGAACATTCAAATTCAGACAAAGTTTGCGCGTTAATAATTATTTTACCTTCTGTGCCAGTTTTATTGTTGTTGTTTTTTTTAAATGAAAATACACGTCTTGTTGATTTGCGATAATTGCTTAGTAAACCTTCGTTAATAGATACCATATACATAGAATTAAGACGCATCAAATTGTAACTACAGTTTGAAATAAATAAGATAAACCTGTCAGTGGATTAAATGGGGGTTTTTTCAATGAATTTCAATCAATTTAATAAGAATGCATAAAAGTATTTTTATAGGTTTATAGACCATATTTTAAGCAGTATAAGAATATGAGATGAATTGGCTTAGGTTAGGCTATTGAGCACTTATGATTTATCACACTGATACGATGCTGTACCTCGGCAGAACTTGGTATAAGAGCTCGTCAGATCTCATTTTCTCCTCTATCAAGTTCTGGGTCCTCTCCTCTACCAAACCCTCAAGGTTATCTGCGTACTCCTCCATCCGAGACAAAAGGGTGTCTAGTAACTTGTCACCAGATTTATTCCTTTAAAATAAAAATTGGAGACGAACAAAGGGCTTCCAGTTAATAGGTAGAAACTATTTGATATTCAGGAGCAGTTGCATTAAAAAATTGAAACTTCATTATTTGTAAAAGGTAGAAACTATTTCATATTCAGGAACAGTTGTATTAAAAACTTGAAACTTAATTAAATATAATTGCAAGTACATGTATGTTGCAGTGATTAGAAAGTTAATTGTTACACAAGTCTTGATGTATCCAAGTCCAGGACGGGGAAATGATACGTGCATTATTTTACTGGATGAAGAAAATTTGTAAATTGTAAATGAATTGATCACGCTTATCAATGTAGTCTCCTTGAAATTTTCAGACTTACCAATGTAGTCTTCTGGAATCCTTTCGAATGGCAGAAAAGTTTGGTCTTGCCTTAGGATCTTCGTCCCAGCATCTCTTCATTAACATCTCTATGTCTTTGTCTATTTCTACCATATCTAGTCTCGGTCGAAACGGTGTTTCTTCGAAGTCTTTTAGCTTTTCTATTATTTCTTGAAAATGAATGAAGCAAAGTAATTTCAATCTTTTTACACTCTGATTTAATCTTACAATGACTGAAGAACTTAAGGTACTAGGGGGATCATGTTTGTCCCTAAAACGTAGATAACACTACATTTGTGTTTCATAGTAAATGGAAACAAATTAATTTGTCAGGGCAAAATTAGTCCTGATGTAGACCAATAATTAAGGGAAAGATAAACAAAATACTACCCCAAACTAGTCAACTGTATTTTATGCATAAAAATATCCATGAAACGTTAAACTATGTTTGAAACAGTACATCTTACCCCTTTACAAAAAAAAAAATAAATAAATAAATAAATAAATAAATAAATAAAAAAAATACGATGTTGTCCAGGAATGCAATTTCAGAAATCTTTTTGGGTTCAATTCGGTTTAATTTCTTTATTTTCTCTTGATTTGCTGACATCGTGGATTTGGTAAGAAAATTATAGTAATTTCATTAAAAGAAATGTACAATAAAATTTTTTAATGAAAATTCTGATGACTGTTTAAGGATTTTTTTTATTATTATTTTATTTATTTATTTATTTTTTAATGGTAATGAGTAGAAATTAGTTATCTACACGTACAATATATTATTCATTTCAAGAAACACAATAATATTTCTTTTTATTGTTTGATCCAACAATCCAACAAAACAACAAAAATTCTTTTTTTGTACGCTTTGAACTGTTGGATTTGACTAACTATATAATTTGATGAAACCGGCATCAACAATTAGAAAAAAAAACTGTTTTATTTTGTTGGCCGGGTGTAAATTTCTTTTTAAATATATAAAAATCTCCTCCTTAAAACACATAAATGTATGACTACATGTCTCCTCTGCGTAATTTTTTCAATGTTAAGGATTAAATATACTCTCTATCACTACATTCTCTAGCCTTTTAAAACACAAGATAAAATACTGCGAAATATATGGAGATAACGAATAGTATTGAAGTCAAAAGTCTATTAAACAATACAAAATAGGAGCAGAGCAAACACGGACCTCCAAAACATCAGAGGTGATTTTAAGGTATGTATTACGTATTTTGACCAAACATTTAGAACTGCATTACGAACTTTGAGTTACCTGAAGTCTTTCAAACAGAATATAAATCATATATATATATATATAATATAATTAGGCTCTTCAAAAAAAAAATACAGAAAGTGCCATAACTTTACGGACATTAAACTGAGAAGTGTGCGATATGCATTGTAACTTCCAGGTAACATATATAATGTCTTCTTCATATGTATATATTTATACTTATTCGTATGTCTGTATCACACACATACACACCTTCCAACGTCAGAAAGTCTTTATCATCCTCAAATGGTTCTTTCCGAGACAGAATTTCATACATTATTATGCCAAAGCTGTATATGTCAGCACTCTGCATTTCCCAAATTTCTCTCTTCGATGAAAATTTTCGGAGAATCTCTGGAGCCAACCATAAGCATTCTAAAAGTAAGATCCTACTAAAATTAATGGAATTCTAATGGATTTGTCTATTGTGTTTTAAGAGAAAATTCTATATTCGGTATGAATGCCTTACTTAAAAAAAATTCTCTGTTCTGGAAAATTATGACTCCATTTCTTTAAAAGAAGTCTCCCTTCCTTTTTTTTTTTTTTTGACCTACTGTATTATATTTTTTCTTTACGTTATACAGGAAATGTCCTAATTGGAGTTTGCCGAACAATAATTGAATTCACATTTTTCAAAAGTTAAGTCTCTTGGCCGCCATCTTGGGGGGGAGGGGGGGGGGAAGAATTCTCACACTGGCTTTTGTAACTTTCAGTTTTGTAACTTTGTCATTTGAATTCAGAATAAATGTTGGATCTTGTATTTTGAATTCCCCAGGATGGGGCTACCCATACATAGAAAAGAAAAAAAATCACACAGTGAATTCATCTCAGCACGCCCAAATGTTTGGTAATGTAAAGTTTTTTCCCTATTGACCTAAAGTTTGTTTGACCCCATAAAGGGAAACAACTTTTGTAAAGTGTGTATTGGACTATTTACATTCCATTGTATATGGATATCAAAAGATTGTGCCTTTATATATAACACAACCTTTACCTCCAAGGCAATCGTCAATATCGAAATCTCTGATGGATCGAATTCCATAATCTGTCACCTTGAGAACAAATCTACTGTCAATGACGCAATTCTGGCTATTTAGGTGGCCATGGAATCGTATACTGGAGGAATGAATATACTCCATTGCCTTCATACAAATGCAATTATCTTGATCAGCAAGCATACAATTATATTTCTATTCTTAATAATTATTTTCTTTGCGTTTTTTATCGATCTGATATAAGTACATTATAATTAAGACATTCATAAAAATATTAGTTAACTGGAATTTAACAGATAGAATTTACTTATATATAAATAATCTTAATACGCTTCTTCAGACTCTATGTCTGTTGATCATTAAGCGCAAACAATATTTAATATATTTAACAATATATTAAAAGAATAATTATATATTACCTGAATTATATCACATATAAGAGAAATGCAGAACTCCATGTTCAATTTGAATGATTCGTTGCCCAGGATATCCTGTTAAGTTATAAATTTGTGTCATAAAAGACCCATATTACTGGAATTTCGACATATAAACTTATGAAGTTTCTTCAACAAACAATAAAATGCAAATTACAAATTGTATAACACATAAACTAGATTACCAGCAACAGTAAACAAGTATTTTTATTATATGATTGAATAATTCCAATACTACGTTATGTTCACCTGCACATGAACTTCCAGGTGAACATAAGGATTTATTTTTTTTCACATTGGACTAAAAATAGATTGAGAACTTCCAAAATGATACAAATAGTTGTGAAAAGTTATTTAACTTGCACCCGACTTCCACTCAGGTGAAAATAACATTCAGGCACATAAAATCGGTTGGATTGACCTCAAAAATAGCAATAATTTTTTTGTATAATGTTTTTGTTACAATAAATCGTTACCAATTAAGTTACAAAAATTGGCGATAACAGTGTTGCTTTTTTCTGTATTTCAGTATACTCTTGTACATGTAGCAGTTTTGTTCCCTTGAAACCTCAATTTACAAAAATATAAATGGCAGTAACAAACTTAATAAATGCCTGAATATTATCAGTAGTAAGATACGGGATTTAATATTAAGAGAAAATGGTTAAATGCAAATCCGAGTTTAGAAAATTTTCAAAAGATATTACATAACTGAATTTTACAAAATATAAAAATTCCAACCAGATTTAACAAATGAACGAATTAGAGAAATCGTAAGTATAATGTATACAGTTTTCCATAACTCTTATTCTATAATGTATAGTCTTACTCTTAGTTCACCGCGTGAGCAGAATTCTGTTACTATAAATACTCCTGATTCACTCTCGGCAAGTCCGATGAATTTCGCCAGGTTGTGGCAGTTTACATCTCGTAACTAAAAAATATATTGCATGATTGGTCTAAAAAACAAAACATGTTTAAGCATGACATTTACTCAGATGACAAAAACATTCCACGGATAGCAATGAAAAACCACCTATTGTACATTGTAGACTTATAAATGTAGCGCTATTATTTATTTTCAACTTATTGGGACAATGACTTAGTATTCATGCTTGTAAATTTTGAAATTACTGCCACCCGATAAATTCAAAATTTACAACATGAACACTATTGGCCTCTGAGTATTTCGCAGAAACTGTTTTACAAATTTTTACACTTGACCAATATCTTTCCTCAAGAAAAATATAACTAGTAGCAAAACTCTCTGAATATGGAAATATTATGAAAATAGGACAGTGTTACTTAATATAAATAAGCAATTAGAGTTTTGAATAAACTTGTTAATCATACCTGTACAAAGAACAAGGTTCAGTTCGAGCCTTTTGGGCCCTGTAAATTTCTGAAAAACTGCTCAGTTTTAGTTAACAACATTAAATTTCACTTGGACCCTTGGTGTCTGCATATTTATTAAAAATGGCGTAATTTTCTCGCTAGTCTATGTATTATGATGTCATGAAATGCGTCATTATCCTTAATTCCTAAAAATATCTTCAAAAACGGCCAGAAGTTTACTCTGTTTTTCAATATTTTGCATAGAGTCCATCCTCTGATCCAAAATATGCTTATAGCTCATGAAAGAACTGTTTCTTAAGATTATAAAACATACTTTATTTTTTTGGATCGAGATGTGGGCTCATATTTTAATTCTTGCTGAAGGTATTCAAATACGCCCGTTTTCTGCAAAATTCAAGGACATCGCAATTTCACAAAGCGTGTCTTTTTAATACCTAGTCTCTCAGAGAAAACTTTTTTAATAGGAAATGAAAGCACAAAGTCTCTACTTCATACTGATGTTTGAAATGGGACATTGGGTCTTGGTCAGTTAATTGTTTGATGGGCAGGGCCGTATTGTGCATATGGTTAAAGTGAACCTAGCTCTTTCCTCTGTTGATTTTCTAAATTCGACCCAATTTTAATCTAATTTTACAAAGCCTGAATGATAGGAACTCTAAACTATTTATGGCTTCAGTTTTCCTATATTGCCCTTATTCTTCTTGCTTCAAAATTATGTTTGTTCAATGATCAAAATTTTTTAGATATGTTGTCTGCATGGAATGGCTTTTGTTAAATATATCTTTTTTTCATTACCCACGTCATCCAATATTATTGGAAATAATACGGAGTTTAACATACGTTATATTTGCAAAATGATGCTAAAAAACAAATAGACACTTTAAAAAAATTAAATTTAAAATTTGCTCCGTATTACCTCTGCATTACCATTATTGTTCTTGCATATTTTCTTCAAATCGTAAAAAAATTAATTTTGATATTTATTTATTACATGATTATTTTGTCCATATAGAACAAACTCTGATTCAATATATTGTACTTTATAAAAATCTGTCCATTAAAACCCTGAGTAAATGTCATCCTTAACCAAAGAACCATTTTTTCACTTATCAGAAAAGAAAATACCTGTTCTCATGTCTAATTACCTGTAATAATTCCATAAAGAGTCTTCGATTCGTTGTAAACTGTTTTCGTTTTGATTTTGATAATGAGACTTTGGTTCCCTGTAAGAAAGTGACCAATTAAGTAACAAGGGTGATGCAAGTACTAAAAATGACCAACGACACGAACAATAAAAATTGTCAAATTTTCGGGGCGACCTGTCCCTTCCTCAGGACAAAGAAAAAAGTTAAGAAGGCATAAAAACAAAGGAAACAGAGAAACAAAAACAACTAGCACTACTACTAAACTACCAAATTTCTTCATCAGAGTACACCCGATAGACCGTACGCAATTCATAGCGCTCCGGATTTCTTTCTTCACAACTGTTTATAAACTTCAAATTCAACATGTACCACTGTAAATATTTAGTGTTTGGTAGTTCGTGTCGTTGGTCATATTTAGTGCTTTATATATATATATATATATATATATATATATATATATATATATATATATATATATATATATATATATATATATATATATATATATATATATATATATATGCCATATAGGTAAATGTCCCAGGAAATGCTTGCAAATGAAGAGTTCTTAAAAAATCCGTGGTCAAACAGTAAAAACAATTATCCTAACTACTCTTTAAATCCTATTTGTTTTTGTATAGAGATGATCCCAAGTTTGTGTTGGCTACTGGGGCTCACGCACATTAACCTATTCTTGGATCATTGATGTTTTGCCTTATAAAACAATTAATTCTTTTCATTTTTAGAATGAAATTTAAAAATCATACCTTATAGTATGCTGTATGTTGTTCTTCTCTATCCAAAATGCTCACATCATCTGATAAACCTTTTAACTGAAAAAAAATAAAGTATACTTTATCATTTAGTACCGGTTATCTGTCGCATTATGATTATGTGACTGATAGACTGATTGTACATTTTGTAGCTCCGAGAGAGGCTTTGTGACTTTAAGAGGTTTAAGTGAATTACCAAATTCTAACATGATCACTTAAATCAAACCAACACGAAATCTTTAACGACTACTAACGCCCACAGAGAAACGCGGCCTTACTTCTAAGGTTTCATTCAAAATTAAACGCAATAATGTCATATGTACAAAAAACAATTTATTCAGTTCCTTTTTTCTCATTTGAAAAAAAAAAGTTTTATACCGTATCTCATAGATAATTAAAAAATAAGAGTTGTAGAAAACATACATTTTAGCTTCCTACGAATTGTATTATGTACTATCATTCCAATAACAGCGTGTCACTTCGCTTGATCGAGCATGGTAAAGTAGTCTGTTGATCGCCAAACTACTCATCGATTGGCTGCTTGAATTCAATGAACTGAATACCACTTCGCATATTAAACGGAGAACCAAACAATAAATAGTGAACACCAACACATAGTCATTCGAAGCCTTCCAAATACATTTTCAAATATTCTTAGTACAATAAGCAGACTACTTAGTACAATAAGCATGGAAGGTACCTTCTAAGAATTTTGATTTATATTATTTTTTTTTAATTCACACAACAAAATGCTAGAGTTTCTTGAAAGAGAAATGGGGAACATCAGCTACAATGTATAAAATGAGGCATTTTTTAGCAATTCACTGAAAATTCATCTATAAACTTGTAGTAGTAGTAGTGTTGATTTACTAGTTTTCATGCATGTTGTAAATTTTCTTACATTATCTTTATCTGGTCAATTCACAATTGAATTAAAAGAAGTAAAAGATAAGAAGTAAAACAACATTTGACTGACCACGTGTTGCTGTACAAATGCCGTATAGTAACCAATCATGCCTTCAACGTGTTCGATGCGATTTTTCAATACCCTTAGTGGGATTTTGGGGTTCTGTCTTTCATATGCAAAGTAGTATGCATTTTGATACTAAACAGCAAATCAATGAGTAATTTGGTAATTAACTTTTGAAAGTTTAGCACGCTTGATCAAGCGAACTGACATGCTGTAATTAGAATGATAGTGTTTTACCTTGGCTTCCGAGAGACACAGGCTTGAGAATCGGGTGTTTACATTTGACGACATTGTAATATCCTCCCAAGGAATCTTCCACCAATTACTGAACAACTCGGAGTCTCTCTTCATTTTTCTGCAAAAATCTCATTTAGATGTATAGTGTTGTTAAGAAAGATATCATTGTTGAGCTCAAAAATGGTAATGGTGTACATTTGCAAAGAAAAAAAATGTGGATCTACTTTCTTAAGCCAAACAGTGATTTCCCATTTAGATTCTTGATATGAAACTTCATATTCAAAATGAAAGATTACCAAAAATTTGCTAACTGTTTAAAATGGTCTGATGTACCTTAACTGTGTGATATGAGTGCCATAACTTGCATAAATAACAACATCGTTTACCTAACTTGTATATTCTAAAAACACACATAGCCTTTGCTGTACACACTTTCTACATGTACTAACATTAGCTTATTTACCTGTATATTCTGAACATAAGTATAAATTAATTAATCTGAGAACTATAAAATTTGGATAACCTACAAGTATAAATGTGCTAAAAACAAGTGCAAATTTACATATTAACCATACATATGAGCTGGATTGTGTTTCTGCCATTAACATGAGATGATTTACATATTTACAAAGTCACCCATGTTAGACAGTCACATGAGATATCTGAAAGACATTAATGGCAATCTACTAAAAACTAAACTTTATCCTAAACGTGATGACCAATTTCTTCTTAACATACCAGTACATAAGAACAGAAGAGAATTGAGCTGTATACTGTATAATACTTAGAAGAAAAAAAGGATGATGGGCGAAATGCCTATAGTACAACAAATATGAAGGTGAAAAATTAAATCTCAAGTATAACAAAATTTTCTTTCATATATCATCTAACATTAAAGTATACTTTATGTTAACTCTCCACAATTTGCAAATATCTCACAAAGACTAAAAATAACTCCTTATGAAATAGCATTCACACACTTAAGAGGGCTAAAAAGGATCATTTTCTCAAATAATAATACAATTTTTCGATATGAGTGGGTCTAATTAGCTCCATTTTTTTGGAGGTTTATCCTAAAAGTTTGTGTAAAAATATACATTTTTTGGTCAACAGAAACATGGAGCAGAGACCCACTATACTTTAAAAGCACATTTTATGACATAACAACTGCATCTTTCCGAGAAATACTATTTAGCAGAGGGTCATATCGCAAACATGATTTAAATGCCACTTTTCATCAGGTGCTATGTATCGTAGTGGTTAGCCTATGGTCTCAAAAGAAAATGATACTCAGGATTTTCATTGCTAGGTTCGAACCCTACGAATACCACATTATTTTTTTAATAACAGAATAATTTTTGCCCGGAAAATTTCTTTAGAAAAGTTTTGTTTATCATAATTTCATAAATATCAACTAGATGCTGTCATAAGACAGTAATAACCGCACTAAGGTGTTTGCCTCTAAATGCACACTCCTTCATATTGAGCTTACCAAAGAAAAAGTCAAAATAATTCTATAATTTACACAGTACACGTATTCGTCAAATCGCGCATAAAATGCTCAGGTGACCATGTCACCTATGAGCCTCTTATAGGTATTTCCTTTACTTAATTCATTACCAGTCTGAAATAACAGAATTTAGCTAATGATGAAAATTAGGTTTAGATAAAAGGGGGGATATAAATTTTTGGCCCATAATTGGAATTTTTTAAATTTATTTTCGCAACAACAAATTAAATTATTTTAGTACAAAGCATTTTGATGAATTTATCAAAATGTGCAAATTTTTTTCAGTATTTGATAAGGCAAAATCCTCCTTGAAAAGCCATACCCAATCAATTTTGCCCCCCCCCCCCAACACACACACACAATTTGCCTGTTTTTGGAAATAGGCTTAGATGGTAAAGTTATGTTAAAACATCGTTTGTTATGATAATTTAAAATTTCTTCTTGTACTGTACATGTATGTGAACACCTTTTTGAAAATTTCTACATCACATTGGGCTTGCGTCACCCTACTATTACTAGTACTAGTTTTACCATTATCATTTTAACATTGCACATGGTGCAGCGTGGTGTAAACATCACTAAATGTATATCAGTAGAAATTAATTTATTTTGTGATTTTAACTGGATTACATTTCATGAGGTTGACGGGACCTATGACAGTCGGTAAGTACAAGTTTAAGTATAGATTGGGGTAAAATATACCTAAATGCAAATGGTTAGGTTAAAGTTTAAAAAGGGATGCCACAATAGATGAATTTCACATTCTGAAGAGTTATCTCCCTTTGTCGACATTGCATTCAGCTACAGGCACAGATCCAGGATTTTTTCCCGTGGGGGGGGGGGGGGGGGGTCCACACCTCAGTCAAAAAAATTCCAGCCTAGAATTTCCTGAGAAGCAAAAAAAAAAAAATAAAAACAAACAAACAAACAAAAACAAAACAAACAAACAAACAAAACAAACAAAATAAAAACAATGATGGTAGGATCCATGTTTTCAAAGGGGAGAGGGCGTCCAAAGTCTTTTTATTTGCTTCTGTAAATCAGTGTAAAGTCCTATTTAAATAACTCTGCAAATTCCAGGGGGGGGGGGGGATCCAATCTCCCTAGAATTAGGAATGAAAATCATTCAAAGAGATGGACCATTAAACTATTTGTATATATTCACATTTTATTTATGTCAAAACAAAGTATTAGTTTGCATACATGAACAAACAGGGGTCTGGGAAGGGGAAGGGGCGAGGGAAAGGAGTTATCTCTTTATATCTTAAATGTTGAAAACTCCTAAAATGAATGTTAACCTCAGGTTCGACTTGTACATCTTATTATTTTTAAGTGGAGGTGTCTCCATATGAGTGAAAAATTCCCGAGAGGGACATTTAACAACAAACAAATGACTTTAAAAACACAATATACATGTACATCTTTATTAGTCAACAGATACACTTCTGGTCATATCTCTAGTTCTCCCTTGAATCAGAAATGATGATATAAATATTTTAAGAATGATTATGAGTTAAAAATGTTGTGCATCTTAAAATTGACTAAGCTCTGTGGTTGAATTAGCTATACCGGTTTAGCTTAATTTGCTACTCAAAGCACCTTGATTAACTATTTTTAATCATACTGTTTTCTGAAATGTGCAGTTTTTTTTTTTCAACATGGATTCAAGTCAAACATTTTCAGCTTCTGAAAAACAATGCATGAAAAAAACTACTTTTCAAATGCTGTAACTCTTTTCAAGTACTTGTGATCATAAGTTTTTATCTCACTTGAGTTTTTTTGGTTTTCTGATCACATTTTGTCTGTCATCCATCTGTTCGTCTGTAAACTTTTCACATTTTTGTCTTCTTCACTATAACCACTGGGCCAATTTCAACCAACCTTGCCACAAAGCATCTTCGGGTAAAGGAGATTCAAGTTTGTTCAAATGAAGGGTCACAACCTCTCTTTCAAGACGGATAATCAAGAATTAGTGAAAATTTGGTGGTATCATTTAAAAAAGTCTTATCAAGAACCACTGACTGCGTCCAAAAAGTTGAAACTTTCTTTACATAGACTTAGTGTAGATTCAAATTTGTTCAAATTATGACCCTCTGAGGTAGGGTGGGGCCACATATGGATCCAAAGATTTACATAGAAAAATGCAGGGGATTTTTTTTCATCATAAATCTTCTTCTCAAGAACAGCAAGGGCATTATTGTCCCCCGTTCCAAAGATTTACATAGAAAAATGCAGGGGGGGGTTTTCATCATAAATCTTCTTCTCAAGAACAGCAAGGGCATTATTGCCCCCCGTTCGGATGAGACAGTATAAACCGAGGTCCTGTGTCGCAGTAGGTGTTGGCACGAAAAGATCCCTCACTGCTCAATGGCCGTAAGTGCCGAGTATAGGACAAAATTTGCAGCTCTCCACCGGCAAGTAGTGGCGTCTCCATATGAGTGAAAAATTCTCGGGAGGGACGTTAAACAACATACAAACAAACAAACATACATACACTCATACAAAATATGTTGCATTAGTAATATACATTTGGCGGGGCATTCATGTCCTATGGACATATTTCTAGTTTTCAAATCATGACCTCCGAGGGTAGGGTCAGGCCACAATAAGGGATCACAGTTTTATATACGAATAAAAGAAAAAAATCTTTAAAATTCTTCTTTTCAAGAACAACAAGAGCATGATTAATATGGAAACATTCTCAAGAAGTATAGATTCAAGTTTATACAAATCATGACCACATGGGTTAGGGAGGGACCATTTTTTTTCCTGCCCCTATTTGCCTTCCACATGGAAATGCAAATTTTGAAACCATTTTACACATCCACAGGACAAAATCAATCATCTTCCAAATGATCATGATTTGAGGCTAATGCATAAAATATAAGAACCAGGGTGTTTAAACATGTTAAACATTTTTTTTTTACATGACCCCCATTTGACCCCCAGGGTGAAAATAAAAAATTCCAAAACCTTACTGCACATCTACATGACACCACCAACCATCTCCCAAAGAGATGATTAGGCTACTGTGTAAAATGTAAGAGGAGTTTGAGAAAGAAGAGTGTGACAGACGGACGGACGGACAGACGGACGGACGGACATGAGTAACAATAATATACCCGAACTTTCTTTAGAAAATGCGGGTATAATAATGAGAACTTTACTCTAAATACTAAATTCACAAATTGAGTATGATTTTTATATACATGTATCCGAAGCTATAGACATTCTGCACGGCTTGTTCACCCATCCCCTTCATCTGTATATTACATAAAGAAGATAAATTACCTGAATGGTAGGAACAGGAGATAATCTATCTCTTTATTACGTACAGAAGATAATTTACTGAATGGTACGAACAGAAGATAATTTATCTATATTTTACGAACAGAAGATAATTTACCTGTACACTACAAATATGGTGACACAGAAGAACAGGATGAAGACCGAAAGCATTGCGGATAAAACTCTCACCAGTACGCTCTCTACAAAGAAAAGAAAATCAGAATTTTACTTTGTTTTTTATATTTATTAATAAATTTGTATTCATTTTATCTCTATATTTGTCAATTAAAACAAAAACAACAATTTTGTAAAAGAACAAGAATAAGGGCTTTTTGAAATCACCTTATCTGTATTAAAACTGACACACTTAATTCATGTGACTTTGCTTTGCAAATCCTCAAATATAAAACTACAATATTTTGTATATTTTTTACAGAGAACGTAAGGAAACTAACAATTTAACAATATCAAATCAATGGCTTAAAATAACATAGTTATCCGTGTATCATCTTTATTGCTACTATATTGCAAAATCCATCAAGAATTGAAGATCGATTGAAAGTCGTTTGAATTTATTGATAGATCTCCTTATCATAAATTCATTTCATTACAATATAAAATTTTCATTCAAAACTCAAACTATTTACGATGTTGTATTTCTCACTTTAGAATTTTTTGTATTCACCTTCAGTGTTGAAACATTCTGGTGCATCGCCCAGGAAACCACAAGGAGGACTGTTTGCTGGTGGGCCTCTGTTATTTGGCCAGTGGATTACATTTGAGTTAGTAAATCGAAAGAAGGTCTTTGCACCAATCCCAACAACCTACAATAAACTCAAAGGAGTAAGCCACACCACTCCCAATAAATCAGGATGAATATCAAGTAAAAAAAATTAGTCACGCCAATTCCTACAACCTACAATAAAAATAAACTAAAAGGAGTAAGCTGCACCACTCAACATGACAAAGGATGAATGTAGACTCCAAGAAGTTATAGCAAAAGCAATCCCAACAACTTAAGATGAAAAGAAGCTGTATCACTCCAAACAACCTAGTATGAAAGAAGGATAAAAGAAGTTAGATGCACCAATCCCAACGACTTATGATAAGGAAAACTGACAGGGATTGAGCTCTAAATCCAGTTGAACAGAGGGCAAACATGGATTACCAGAGGCTGGATCATGTAACATTGAGGAGTAAGCATCCCCTGTCGACAGTTCACGTGAGCGCTTTGTCTTTATGAAAGTAAACTACACGCATAATAGTAATAATACCTGAAATATATAAGCCAGAAATGAAATAGGTGAAGATGACAAACAGCATCTCAAACAATACAAATCTGTGAACAGGGCATAAAACAGGGCATAAAACACGTACCCCTGGAAATTTCAGAGGTGGGATCAGATACCTAGGAGGGGTAAGCATCCCCTGTCGACCGGTCACACACGCCTTGAAACCTATGTACTGATCATGTAGACGGAGAAATCCATAGTCAAATTTTGTATTTAAACAAAAGCCTTACAATTGGTATGAAATATTTTTGTAATATACGATCCAATGATAGGTTGTATGTGCTAAAAGGTCATTATAACGACCGTAAAATTTACGAAATGCTGACTTTAAACAAGGTTGCTGAAATCCCTGTTACATCAACTTATTTGACAGTAGCCTGTCTCGGGGTTTAAAAATTGATCGTACTCAGAGTATGCTATTGAGCATCAAATAAGTTGGGAGACATAAACACGATATGCAGATGATAGACATAAACACGATATGCAGGTGATAGTAGTGTATTACTAAGTCACATGATAAGGTTCCCTATCCAACTGTTTTGAGATATTATAAAACACTTACGATAAAGTCTCCAGTATCTGGATCTAAATCAAGTAAAGTCATGTATACATCTAGGTCGCCTTTGGAGTCGATGTGCAGTTGTCCATTGATACCTGTTCAATATTTGAAAGTTGTGGGATTTTGTATCTTGTATATATAAAGGGAGAACTAAATAACCACATATGGTGTAATTGTTAGAGGTTTCGTATAAATTAATCAATTCTAAGAACATTTAAACTGGCAATGTTTTCAATTCTTTGAATTTTATTTTTAGATAACCGCGAACGGTATATTTTGATATAAGAAGTATATAAAATTCAAGCTGTTTGAAAAAAAATATTCTATTGTTTTTGTTTGTATGTTGTTTAACGTCCCTCTCGAGAATTTTTCACTCATATGGAGACGCCACCACTTGCCGGTGGAGATCTGCAAATTTTGTCCTATACTCGGCACTTACGGCCATTGAGCAGTGAGGGATCTTTTTCGTGCCAGCACCTACTGCGACACGGGACCTCGGTTTATACGGTCTCATCCGAAGGACCGGTCTCCATGTCCCACAGTGGGATTCGAACCCGCGACGTAAGGATCAACTCCTTACTTCGCGACTCTAGAGCAGACGCTCTAACCACTGCGCCACGCAGGCGACAATATTCTATTGAATAAAAATTCTAAATACTTCGATACCTTATAGCGTAATAAATATTATTATTATTATTATTATTATTATTATTATTATTATTATTATTTATAGGTTTTTGAGTAATGATGATGAATATTTTTTACAATATTCCTAGCTTTTTTGTTCTTTTAAGTCATCTTACCGTCAAAGGTTCTATTCCAGATTCGTTTATTTATTTGAGTGCTATCTCTATAATCGTCTCCGTCCTCCATTGTCTCCCTTAGAGCTTTCCCATATAACAGAAAGGAGTTATAAAACGCCATCACATGAGGATTTACCTACATGCATGACAATTAGATTTAATCCAATTCAATGTCGTATAGTGAAATTTAAATCAATTATATTCAATTTGTAAATATTCTTTCCCCTAAAACGGAGACAAACTCAGTAAAATTCGATGATTGTCAATATAGAACATTTAAAATTTATGGGTTTTTTTTCTTTAGAAAAATGTAAAAGCAAGTAAACCATTCGAACCATTCAAATGCTTGGCAAAGTTTTCAGCTAATAACATTTTGACACTGCCTCTAGATTACTACCCAGTTCAATTTATCTGATTCGAAACGTGAATGTTTTTTCTAGGAAACGTCTTATCAATTGTCTGTTCAATAAAGAAGTATTATGCTTTAAGGTAAATCACTCTTAACCTTTTGAGGTAAGTTTGGTCAGACCTCTTGATAATCAAAATTATCAATTACAATTTAATTTTCATAATAAACTCGAAACAATAAATTTATTTAATATTCATTCATTAGAATTAAAAAAAAAGCAATAACTGCTCAAAAATTGATCAGATTTATGAGGGACTCTTTCTTGTGGTGGAAGGATATATAGAAGATTATCAAAATCTTCACATAATTTGTTTTATTCAATGTATTGGAATTATGACACTGCATATTTTTACTCACAGAATGCTAACGTTAATTATTATATGCTAGGAATATTCAATGTACATTCCGACCGAATACAATCTAACATCAGAACAAACTTCAAAATTGAACCCCGGGTCCGCTTTGCGTTCCCTCGGGGTCATGCCCCTCAAGGTCCGCTAAAGCGAACCCGGCGTTCGCTTTCACTCAAACGTGAAGCGGACCCCGTTTTATCTTACCGCCTGTAAGTCCCGCCTGTTGTGATGTGACACTGCTTATCTTAATTGAATCCTATTACTGTAAACTCTTACCGCCTGTAAGTCCCGCCTGTTGTGATCTGACACTGCTTATCTTAATTGAATCCTATTACTGTAAACTCCGCCTACACGTGATGATTGACGTGCTTCAGTGACTTTATCTTAAATGCTTCTCTGGATGTTCAGTAGTCGCTTGTATACTGTTATATATTAAACGTGTGTTTACATAGATAAAGGTTATAGACAAAGAATAACAGAAATCCTTATTTATAAAAAGGAATATAACAACACCCCTTATATATTCCAAATATTCAGTAGTTGAAAGGGTTGACTGTTGCTCAGTGGTGATACGACGCACTTATACAATGTACCTGTAAGTGAGAAACGGAGGATGTTAATAAAATTACCTGAATTTCACCCCGATGTATTTTCTACATTGAATTACAACTTCGGCAAGATGAAAATCTGCGTTACAATCTTCTGAGAGGACAGTTATTCTGTTTGTTTTTATTTACTTAAATTGTTTTTTCATGAACAAGTGTTGATAAAAAAAATTCGGAGACAGTAAATTACGGGAAAATAGTTACGTTCAGGAATGTGGTATACATGTATTTTATCATATGGCTATGGGTTGATGATAAAAAACACAAAAATCAGGTACATTTACCAGAAAATTTAGATATATACAAATTTCATTTTGTTGTTGTTGTTTTTGTTGTTGTTTTTTGTTGTTGTTTTGTGTGTGTGTGTGTGTGTGTGTGTGTGTGTGTGTGTGTGTGTGAGGGTGTGTGTGTGTGTGTGTGTGTTTGTGTTGTGTTGTTTTCTTTTCTTTTTTGTATGTTTGTTTTTTTTTTAAATCACCTAATCATTGATTGGTATTATGAACGAGCGGCAGCCTACTTGATGAGAGAGAGATTGAAATGTTCAGTATAGTATTTGGTTAATAGGTGCTCCGAAAGGAAAATTAATACATGTATCATTATATAATAGACTATGTCTAAGTCATGCTTTATTTCTTATTATTTCCCATACCCTCAAATCCCTTTCTCGACCGCTTAACGATAAATTATTTAAATTTATTCATTCTACCTTCAATTTTTGAATGTAAACAGACGCAATCCTAAATGATTTTGAATTTTAACAGTTGTCACGTGATCAAATCCTCTGAAGGCCGAAAGCCTTCTCAGAAGATTTGATCACGTACCGATCACTTCATTTCCCAGTGAAGTTTTTAAACATGCTATTTATTTCTTATATATACATTTGACATGAACAATCGAATATAAATATTGCACTAATCTTGACAAAATTAAAATAAAACTAATTTTGACAAAATTAGCAAGGTGTAAATCGGCTTGATAAGCGGCTACGCTTCGAATTCATCAGGCAAAGGATTCTGTTTTGATGGGAATATTTTGGGAAAGACTACTTGTGATCAATAATAGTGAGCCTATTGTTGTGAGGGAATTTTTGTATTCGTAGGAACCGATATTCGATGTTAAAAGGCACAAGAAACACGTTCGATGTTTGATTATAAAAAGTAGGAGGAATTTCGGTCTGACGGGTATGGATGGAGACACTAGTCCGAGCCAGTTAACTTGAAATCAAGCTTACTCTTATTGAATTTTTCGTGAGTAAAGTTTATTGAAGAAAAATTTATTGAATACCATTCAGAGTTTATGATGAAGATCAAACTAAAGGTCTACAGGAAAATTAAGGATAAACGAGGAGACCGTGCAAGCTGACATAAAACGTATAACACGTACTTTTTTATTCTCTATGTAAAATCGCCAAAAAACTGGATTAAATACTTGCTTACAAATTTTAAATAAGACGATTATTCTTTTACTTGCGTATTTTGTACATTTTTTGTACATGGAAAGCATGCAATAATTGCTAAATTAAGCAAGTCATTTTATGTAGATATTATTGCGATGTGTGATTAGGTCACATAATGACCTATGACCTTTAAAAAATTTCATACAGGTATGAAGATATTTTCTCTCTGTATGTTTGTATAATAGAGAGATACCACAAATGTATATATTTGTAATCATCTTTTCAGTAAATCTCCGTAATTTTTTTAATACAACTTGTCTGGAAAAAATGCGCAGTGTATGATTGAAAATCTGTACATGTTTAAATGAATTTTTGTAAGAAATACTTTCTGAGAATAAATAAATAAATAAATTATGTACTTTTCTGAATATTTAATGTTACATAGAGAATTGTATTTCATAATATTGTAAAATATTTTGTACATGTTTCAGAAATATTAAGCACATAAGAAAAAGTAAAATATGAATTATGTACAGTGTTTTGATCACAGCAATACGCCAACCTGGATGCTAATTAGTCTACGCGCTGATTGGTCAACGTAAAATCCTGATTGACAGCTGTGTTTCCCAATAGCAAACGCGGCGTTCACTTTCTGGGTGCGCTACTGAAATCAGGGTTCGATTTCGGCGTTCGCTCTGAGTCCGCCCGGGGTGCGCTTTGTCTACGCTCCGGGTTCTCTCGGGGTCAGCTCTAGTGGACCCCGAGCGAACCCGGGGTTCGTTTGGGGTCTGCTTTCTGTTAGGTTGTGTCTGGTCGGTACTGTAGTTTCAAATGATATTTTTAGAACAGATATTTCACAAATTTTTAACACAATTTACCAAAAACTGCAAATATATAGAAAAAAAATCAAGTCAAAATTAACCTTGTTCGTAGCCTAACATTTGCTAGATTTGGCCATTTCTCAAAATTTACATCACTGGCCCCAGGTTTTTATTTTATTTTTTGAAGTTTCACGATACCTGTAATCGAACAGCATTATATACCCAAACTATGGTATCTTATTAGTGCAAATAGGTCACACAATATTCTACGCGCATAAATTGACATATTATTAATAATATACTTTGAATAAATGACACAAACATTGAACATGCGTGTAAATATTCAAACTGCTACTGAGGAGAAGCTCCAGAGTTTAGAGAATATTGGAGAAAAGAGAGCTCAAGCTATCATTCAATTGCGAGATATGTTGAATTTCCCTATTTCCGTTCAACTGCTGGATTACGCCTCAAGAATCAAGGAAGAAGTATGGCAGCAGTGGATCAATGAAGGTCTCATTGAATTAGATGATGATAATGGACGATCAAGTAAGGTTGCGGGTAATGAAGATCTTAGTCGCGAACTTAGAACAACCAGAAATTAGAATCCTGCTATTATGAAAAGGAGGATCTGCATCATAGATTGAATTTGCAGCAAGGCAGAATGCAAATGCAAGCAGAGGAACTTCATAGTAAAGACTTGACCCTAAAGGAAAAAGAAACTCAAATTTCTGAACTTCAAAAGGAGCTAGACAGACGAACACCTCTACATATACCGAGCTTGCCACTGAGTAATCTTCACACACCTTTGGACAGGGCAGGAATTAAGCAAGAACCTATGACGCCGCATCTTACCTCTTTGAAGGTAGAACCTGGTCAATGCACCATAGAAGGACGCCACGTGATGACTGGTAGTAGGTCTCATTCACAATTTGAGTTAGGACCAATGCAGTCATTCACTGCATTTCCTTCTTCTGGAGTACCATCATTTCACTCTTCTACCCCCCTGTAGTGTGTGTTGTGCAAACATGCAACTGGATTTTGGCCGTCACAGTTCTACTCATGGAGATAAGTTTTCCAGCGCCTACCTGAGACAACCAAAACAGAGACGTGCACAGTCTACTAGATATAGAGGAGAAAGTAGCTCTGGCTCCTCATACTCAGAAGATTCCAGTGAGTCTGAGGATTCTCATAATTTATCCAGAAGAAGAACTCGTTATGGTAAATCCCGAAGGAGCCCGTCAATACCTAAGATGCCTACCTTCCGTGGCAACAAAAACTGGGACTCATTTATCTTCCAGTTCCAAAGACAAGTGACACAATATAACTGTAGTGAGCGAAACGCAAAGGGAAGGCTACTTGACTGTCTGCAGGACAAGGCGTTGGATTTCGCACGTGAACTAACACATTGCAGCTATCAAGATCTCTCTTGAAGATGTCGAGGCTATTCAGTACAAAAGAGGCACCCACATCCACAAGGCGTCAATTACAATTTGTACGACAGAAGGAGGATGAAACTTTTGAGGAGTTCTCTCAAAGAGTCCATTTTCTAACC